TACATGTCAATCACGGTTCCGGCCAAACCACAGCTGCACTACAGATCTTCTGAAAGTTGTTGATTGATCTGTCGACAATAATAAACTTTGTCTTCTAGTATTGCCGGACTACTCTAAAGCATTTGATCGTATTAACCACTCTCTACTTCTGGCAATACTGAAGTACCTGGGTTTTGTCTCTAGCGTGGTCACTCTGCTTGGAAATTATCTGCTGAACCGTTCTCAGTGTGTCATACTCAATAACAAAAAATCGAATACCCTTAAAATAATGGGGTTCTTCAAGGATCGATTTTAGGTCCACTTCTCTTTGTTCTATATACTTCTCAGTTCTCACACTGCCTTCTTCACACTTCCATGCATTGTCACGCCGACGACACACAGTTGTATTTACAATTCTATGAAAATGCACTCAATATTGCGCTCGAACAAATGAGTCATAATCCGCACTCTCTTATAACTGAATCAAGTAAATATTGTCTCTCTGTAAACCCATCTAAATCTTGTGTCATGCTCTTCGGTAGGTCAATTGCAAAGAATCGTTGCAGCGAATGGATTAACATTTCCATCGACGGGGTTCAATTACCAAAATGTGACGTCACGGAAAATTTAGGTCTTTATCTCGATAATTATCTGCGTTTCACTACATTTGTTTCTCAGATTCCTAGGAAGGGCAAAAAAAATAAAATATTACTCTGCGACGCACTGGCACTCATGCCAACTATGCTGATAGTGTTTATGGTCCAGGACTCTTGAAATCTGACAGGCAGACACTTCAAAAACTGCAGAATTCGTGCATAAGACTCGTCACAGGCGTAAGAAGTCGTGAGCATGTGTCTCAATACGTGGAACAACTCGGTTGGCTGAACATGGAAGCTAGGCGCACACTGCATTCTGCTAGTTTATTCCATAAGATCATATCCACTGGGAAACCTGCCTACCTATTCACGAAACTGTCCTTTAGAACCGATATACATAATCTAAATTTGAGATTTGAACATTTTTTGACTGCACCTAAACATAAAACTTCTCTTTTTCGAGGATCTTTTTCTTATAACATTGAACGCTTATATAATCGGCTACCCATCGAATTGAAATCCCTACCACCACGTAGTTTCAAGAAAAATCTGAAGAGATTTATGCTACAATCCGGTTCCTTACTTTTATAACATTCATCAGTTGACACCTATACATAATATGTTTTTACTATAAATATGTAGAAATCATCAAATTTATCATTATGTTTGTGACATGGTTTTTTCACATATAAAAGATCAAATTCTAATTTATTCGTTTTTTGCCTCTCTTTTCTGCTTTTCTTTCTTTTTCTTTTGCTTCTCTCCCTTCTTTTCTTTTATTTTTTTTCATTTTTCATTAAGTTCGATTGCAAATAATATGTATTAATATGTTATTTTTTACTGGTTGGATCGAAGAGCAATTTCTCCCTTGATTTATCATGCGCAGACGTTGAATTCTACCATTTGATAGGTTAGATTAGTATCTCCTGTACTAACCTTTCAATACAAGCATTTATTATTATCATTATTTTTTTTTCACCGTAGTGTGCGCTGGTCAGGCCCTATCCCCCGAAGCCCCGATACATTCGGGAGGGCGCGCCAGCATTATCAACCAATGACCACTCCCCACACCGTGGGGTAAGTGATCATTGGGTGCGAGATCATGTGCCCTGAGCAAGCGCAGTGAGCCAAGAATGACAGCCTTCTGCATCTGTGCTGCTAAGATTTCTGCCTTAGTGCTGCAACCATCTTGACAGAGTGATCTGGATAGAAATGGGCGAAAAATGGCAATTGACGAATCTGATGGTGATAAAACGAGCGATAATGTTAGCATCGTTAGTTACTATCCAGATTTCGAAGGCGAAACTATGAAACCTCCATCCAAAAGACTCAAACAAAATGGTCAAGGAAGGTCTCAAGATTGCCATCGTGCCCGTTATCGAAATACAAAATACATTTGTAACAAATGCAATAAATTCATATGCCTGGACCATGCAGAAATGAACTGCAAATCTTGCGTAGAAATGGCAAAAGTTGATGACCTGTAACTTTTTATTATTTTTAATAATTTTTTATTATTTCCATTTTATGCTGTTTTATTCTATTTGTTCTATTTGAACCAGCAATTTGATATGTATTTAATCGTTTTATGTGCAAAAGGTAAAGACGGAATATAACGATTTATTGCTCGTTTTGGTAAATTAAAAATCATTTTATCGCAAATAAAGATATTACAGTATAGAATTATCATAACAACTATGTTGCAATTCAAAAAAATGTTAATTCTAATAGAAAAATCACATTGGGGTCTCATACACCCCACGTGTCTATAAATGTTTCCATAACCTTCCTACTCAAGACCTATATCTTCTTTTCATCGAAGTCATTGGTCAGTTTTATTTTAAATAAATTTTGGGGCCCACCTATTCAGATATGGCCGAACTTCCTGTCCACGAAGCTGAAATGCAAACTCGTAGCTTGCATTTTCGCGTTCCCAGTATTATAAATTATCAACCGGATACGTTTGTTTAGTCTAGCCTGAACGAAGAATAACCTTCCTGATGCTAACAGAGTTCAATAATAATAAATTAAATTCAACGCTTACTCTGTTGAAAAAGTATTACTACCGAAAAACCGAGTGACCGACCCCGATCCCCGATAATTATTAAAATTATATTTTTCGTTAGTGAAGCTGCTGGATTCCATCCAGAAAAAACCATGCGTCTGATTGGAGACGCGATCATCACTTGCAATCCTAATATTCTGAAACATCAGAGAAAGGTTGGAAATTTGTCTCTCTTCTACAGATACTTTCACG